GTTTGGTAATGGATTTGCGTTCATTCAACGTTCAAGATGTTTTACTATTCTTTCATTGGTGTCTTTGAAAAGTTTATATTTCTACAAAAAAAAAAAAAAGATGCGTTTTAATGAATTTTATAATTTGTATTCTTTTAGGTTATGAAATTCTCCATCATCGATTTTATTACTACAATTATTTACAAATTATTACTAGTAGTCCGATATTATATTAATTTAAAACTTTAAATCCTCGATTTAAGTACACTTTGTTATAAGACGATGAATTTCTATGAGCGAAAAGGTTAATAGAGAAAGTCGGAGATACACGACGATTTGGTAATAGATTTGCGTTCATTCAACGTTCGAGTTGCTTTGCTATTCCTCCATTGGCGGAAAGTTTGTATTTCTGCAAAAAAAAAAAAAAATATATTCTAATGAATTTTAAATTTTACAATTCATATTCTTTTCTTTTTTTTTATTACTGCACAAAAACTTACAAAAACTTTTGAAGGTTATGAAATTCTCCCTCATAGATCAATTTTCACCTTTTCAACAAACTTTAGAAATGCAATTTAAAAACAACATTTCCTGTATAAGAAAAAAATCAACACTCGAAAAGTCGAAAAAGATTCCATTGGAAAAGAGCGATGAATGCTACTTTTCATTAAAATAACGTAACAGCTTCCCAATATATACCATAAATAGATAGATAATAAATTTTCATAGATAAGAAAAACATTTCCCGATACGAATTTCCATTCCGAACTAGGAATCCAGGATTCCGTCCAACTTCCATCCATCCGTTCCATCCCTTCCACCGAGATAATTGCGCAACATCGAGAACAACCTCGCGATAACTCCCGCCACCAGCGAGAATTCGGTGGTGATTCCATCGCGATTTCCAGTCGATGAATCGACTAACCGGTTGCCCATCATCGCGCGGCGTGTACCAATTACGGCCGAATTAAAGTCGCGATAAAGCGGCTATGTTTCGGCCGAGTTTCCATTTCGATCGCATTTGCATGACCGTTTCCCCTCGTTATCTCGAGCGAACCGATCACGCAAATGGCTCTTCCCCCGTCCTCAATCTCGGTTGGTCGGTTGAACGACCGGATGAAACGAGAGCTCGAAAGAAAACTGCTGGTTGATCCGCTTCCGCCAAATGGCCGCCAGGGATCTCGATTCGAGGAGAGAAACGAAACGAAATCTTCGTCACGTTTGTGTCTTATGCCGCTTCTTCTAATCCGTCTCTTCGATTTACTGTTACAGTTATTCCTTGGTTTTTGGAAACGAATTGCTGCCTCTTCTTTTTTTCTAAAGGTAGCTGGTTATTATTACTGTCTTTGATCGTAATTATCAGGGGCTTCTTTGAGCTTTTATTTTGTAGTTTTCCTATTTTTCTATTCTTTCTTTTCGTTTCTTCGAAGACGCGATTGGAAATTTTTGTCCCCGTCATATATTATATCAATCTTTTGCACTCGAGACAATTGTTCCACACGTTTCGATGAATTTCTTACAGCTAACCTCAAAACGCACGTGTATAAGTAACGTATTTTTACGTATAAAGAAAAAAAATTTGTCGAATATTAAATACTCTATATATATCGCATAAACGATCGGGCAAGATGCATCCTTGATTTATTATGAACCTTATAATCCTTTTTAATGTGCACCGGATAATTATTCTTATTTTGATTTCTTATACAAAATCGAACTCGTCTTTGTTCGAAAAACAATTGAAAATAATATTCCTATCGTCTATACTTACCGTCAAACTCGGATCAATGGCGAAGATCCGATCCGCGATCCAATTTAAGATAAGAAAATTTACCTGTCGACATTATATTACTCTACGCTTCGTATGATTTTACGTAAAGAGCTTGGAAAAGCTATTCGAATTCAAGTGATGGCTGAGAAACACCATTCGTGTGAGTGCAAAGGATTAAACGATGAAACTGCATCAGTTCTGAGCAATAAGAAAAGAAAATGAATAAGAAAAGATAAGATACGATAAGAAAGAAATGTTGTTATTATCACGCATCGTTACATTATTGAAAAGAAGTTTATGTTTCCATTTCAAAATGTCGTTGCAAGCTTGACATCTTGAGGAAACTTGAATTTTATACTGCTTTACGAATTCCATCTTTATCTTGCTTTCAACAAACGTGCTATTATTTCTTTCTATTATTTCTTGCAATGAATTTACGTTTGAACGATATACAATCGCTTTCACTGTTTCCTCCGATGGATAAAAATCATTTCATACTTTTTATCATACTTTTTTATATATTTTTCTTTTCTTATTTTCACTTTAGTGGGATATACTTGTTGCATTTTTGATCCTGGAATATTCTGTTGATAACAGTTTGCGCAAAAGAACTATATGTATATTTATCATATATACGAATTTATTTTCGCTCGTATCTTCTCTTCGAAGGATTAAAAGAGGATAATATTATTAAATGTAGAAATAATTTCTTTCCCCTTCTTTTTCCAAAAGAAAATTCAAGATTTTATTACGTAAATTAGGTACAAGATTATCCGATTGTTTCAGTCGGATAAATGAAACCGCTCGTCTCGTGACTCCCAATCTTTCTGCCAATTCCTCTCGTGGATCGGATTTTCGTCGAACAATTCTTCTAACTCACCGTCGTCGAACTTTCTCGGTGCACTTAAACGATCGTCGTCTTCCAAATTAAAATTTCCGACTTTAAATCTTTTGCATATTCCGCGCACAAACCATTTCAATAGCTTCTAAAGCCGATTTCCTAAATTGGTATGCAAAAAGTAAACAGTGACGCGAATGACGTTTCCCGCACGCCATATTGCTCGAAATTGTTGCATAGGACTGGAAACTCTTGAAGCGCTCGTCACGACTCTTCTTGAAAACAAAAGAACGCTCTTTCAGATGGCGCCACCAACAGGAAGTAATTCGACTGGATCAGATATTACGATCGTAGAAAAAAAGAAGGAACTTATTTGCACACCTAATAAAATAAATAACGATGGGGAAGAAGAATATCCTGTGAAACGTTTAGCTATTCAACGTTATATTACTCTTCGCTTCATAAGATTATCATATAATACGTTATATCAAGAAACTTATGAAATTTACGAAATCAATCGCATTCAATTAAGCAAAATAAGTAAAAATCTGAAACTGGAGCTTGAGGAGTGCCAACTGCGCAGATTTTCTTCTCTAATCTCACCGAGGAAAAGGTTTTCCACGCACTAAGAGCGATCTTCGCGAATTATTCTGGGCCCCCTTCGAGGATCAGAGGTGAAGTTCGGTCGTTATCTACGGCAGGCAGTTATTGCCTATTGCACGGTGGCCGGCCAAAATAGAGGAAATAGGGGGTTGAATAATTCCCTCGTCATCTTGCCGAGAGTCCTTTGTACGGGGTCTCTTTAAACCCCGTTAGGGGAGGGTTGGAAGGGATCATGGAACAGAGAGAGAAATTGGAACGGCAGGAAGCGGCGAGGATTGGTAAATTGTTTCGAGATAGATGGCGGGAGCGAGGATATAAAGATTTCGAGTCGAATTCATCGCTGCTTCATCTTTATAAGAGATTTGATAACAACGAATATAAATTTGAAAATTGATTTCGTGTACTTTGTGGATCCAATTTTTGAAAATAGTGGAATTATTTTTTACTTAGCAAGATTGATTTTCTATAATATTCTATCGATAAACGTATTCTTCCAAGTATAACCTAACATATGTAAAGACTTCTGTATCTATTCTCGTACAAGATAATAACACTTTGACTTTGAAATACAGAACTTACTACGTTGATAATAAAATTTTCTATAATATTTCTACTAATAAACATATTATGATCAGCACAAAATTTTTTAAAATGTGTAACTATGACTGTATCTACAATGGGTAACGAAAGTATTCGAACGTTTACATTTACTATTTTCAATGAACGAAATATATACATTAAAAAAACTTTAAGATGAAGAAAATCTCAAGATTATAGGTAAGGAAAATTTGAAAATGATTCACCAATTTACACGATAGTGCATTTATGCAGCAAGATCTTCGCATAATAACATATTGACTTTGAAATACACAAGAATCACACAAAACTTTTTAAGATGTGTAAAGACTTTGACTTTGGAATACGATCGCACAAGAATTGCTGCGTTGGTAAGCAAAAATTCTTTTCTCTTCGATAAAAAATATCGTCAACCTTTTTGATTAAAATTTGTCAAACTATAAATGTTTTAAAAAACACGGATATTTTCGTAGCTGAAACAACGCATTCTGATCGCATTTCGCAGTCGATCGCAGTTCGAAAGAGTTATATATATATAATATAACCGCAAACTTCCTGAAGATAGAAGAATCGAGGGAGAGAAGAGGAGGGAAAGTTATCATTGCTTTTGAGGATTTCGCAACTTTCGAAAACTTTCCCTTGGTTCCAAGTTTCGAAGTTAAATTACAGGAGAAGCTGAAAGTCTATATTTTTTTAACAATGTCTCGCGTAACGCCGTCGTTTCCCGTTGTTTCAACTTTCTCGCGCGTTCTCGACAGATTCTCCCCCTCCCTCCCGTCCCTTCTCCCCTCCCCTATTTTTTAAAACATCCTTCCTTCCTCTCCTCGTTTTTTTTAATCGTCAAACTCGAACATCCTCCCTTCATTTTTTTCATCTTGCAAAACTAGGCAAAATAACGAAACAGAATTACATTACTAAAATATGGGTAAAAGAAGGTACTGGAATACACTGGATACAGTGGCGCACCACATGGCCTGAAGGAGAATTTCGTTAGAAACACGCGTGGCAGTCAACGTGTTAAAAGGAATTGAATTATCGATATTTAATTCTCATCGTATCATTATCGATAACGAGGTAAATAAATATCGTGTTCCCTTCTCTCGAGAATGAAATTTATTCATCTGATCCGTCTCGATTCGTGTTTATATATGATTGATAACACACACATACATATATATATTTTTATTTTTATTTTTATTTTTAACGGCTCCCGCCATGTTTCTCCTTCTTTAGAAACGTGGAGGATTACGCGAGAGAGCACGAGGAGGCGTCGAGAAACATTCAGCAGTACCTGTCCAATCCGATCAACGCTTATCTATTGGTGAAACGGCTGACCACGGATTGGAAACGGGTCGAGGAGCTGATCACCCAGGACGTGGGCAAGTCTTTCGTGGCGAATATAACCAGCTCTAGGAGCGACCTTAAATTCCCAACTGACGAGGATCTTAATGGGGCGGCCGTCGCTTTGATGAGGTTACAGGACACGTACAAACTCGAGACTGCACAAGTCGCCAGGGGCGTGTTGAACGGGGTCCAATACAGCACAGGATTAACCGGTTCGTACGTACACACAACCCTCTCCCCTCCTCTTTTCCTTCAGAATTTATTTATTTAATCCTCCTCTTTCTTTCTTCATTCTTCTTCGATCCAGGAACGAAAGTCTCTCTCTCTCTCTCTCTCTCTCTCTCTCTCTC